CACAAGTGCCCAAATGTTTTTTCGTTTGGCCTATATATGAATTATTACAATTTTTACAGTCTAATTTATAAACGACTTTAGTCCTGCTATTAATAGGCAATCTATCTTTTCCACGTTTAATCAATGCATACAGTTTTTTAGAAATGTTATAGACAATATTAAGATCTACATTTTTAAAAACGCGACTAATCTAATCACTCAAGTTCTCCACAAACGGTAAAGAAATGTAACACAGTGTAGTTGCATTATCACATTCAGTATTCATATTTACATTAACACGATGTTTTAAAAACTCAAGTCTTTTTTGAATGTAACGATTAATAATTTGAGTTGGAAAACAATTGTTGGAAAGAATCTGTTTAACAGTATCAATATTCTTAGAATGGAATCGAACGTCTGATAATAAAATAACGCGGTCAACAAGATTATAAATGGTGTTCATTTTATATTTAAACGGATGCTTAGAATAAAAATTAATGTATCTATTAGAACAAGTAAGTTTTCTATACCAATCAGTCAAAAGCCGACCATTCGAACGAATAACAGTCATGTCTAAAAAACTAATGCAAGAATCAGACTCAGTTCTGTGTGTAAATGTCAAACGTTGATGGTAATTATTGAAAGTCGATACAATCTCGTCAATCTTTGAGCGTGAGACAATGTTAAAAATGTCATGAACATATCTATAATACAACGGAACATTAAAACTCAACAAACTTAAACAATGCGTTTCTAAATCATCCATCACGATATCTGTCAAAACAGGTGACAAGGGAGACCCCATAGGTCTAACAAAAATCTGTTCATAAAACTGTCCATTAAACGAAAAACTAGTAGAAACTAAAACCGTTTCTATCGCGTATAAAAACTGAGACTAGTTAATTATTGCGATAATAGAGAAATGACAGAGAGATAGAGATAGAGGGATAGAGAAAAATTATTCTGAGCCATTTGTTTATATTGTTTATAAATTTGTGGGACGCGTAATTTGCAAAAATCTAGAATTATTTATATTAGGGGTGTACCGCGAGAGCACAAAGCAGCCGAACATCGGCGCTGTTAAAATTTTTCCTTAAAAAAAAATAAAATAAAATAAAATAAAGTAAAAAAGGGAAGAAGATTTTGGGTTAGGTCCAAAATCTTCTTCAAAGTAACCGCTCTTTTGTTTATGTTTGTCATAAAACATCCAATACTAATGCGTCCCCGCGTGACGTCATCTCCTCGTTCCACTGACAAGTAACACTACCCAAATGTAAATCACCGATTTTGATAATTTTTGAATATGTTGTAGTAGACGTAAAAATAAGACATACGTATTTTTTTTTATCGGCGGAAAACCATATTTACACCCCTTTACACCCCTTTAAATTTATGGGTATCGATTTAATTGTTTTGTATATAAGGATTTAGTATTTTCGGCCCGAACCAAATAAAATAGTTGCATCATCAAGAGATATGAAAAATGGAAAATTTTCGACTCGGTTCGATCATTTTTAGGGGGTAAACCACCCCCTGTATTTGAAACAAAAATTTTAAAAATGCCCAGATAATTGCAAATTTTATTCAAAAATTTTTAAAAAAATATATGTTACACTCGCATCCAAAACAAAAGTGAGACTGTTTGAGGATTTAAGGGTGACCACCCTTTTATCGAATTTCTTACGTAACATTTAAATTTATTCCGAAATAATGGTAAACAGTTTCATTTATCGTCAAATTAATTAATATTTACAAATTATAGTCTGATCAACCCTTCAATTCTATAAGGGGTGAGGAAAAACCTACCCTTAATAAGAGTAAGAAACCAGGATCGCGGCTCTTAGCATTACCCAGGATCACGACGGGGACGTGGCCGCGTGGATCCCATTTTATTTTATTTTTTTGGTTTTTTTGGTTTTTTGTTTTTTTTATTTGTTTATTGTTTTGTAATTTTTTTGTGTTTTTATTTGTATGTTGTTTTTTAATTTTTATATTTGTATTTTAACAATTAAAAAAAATTAAATTAATTAAACGTTACATTATAACTAACTTTAGTAATATTAATTAATGGCTATTCTTTATAGTCTTTACAATAATGAGGGACGCTTTGATTGCTGGGATCAAAAAAATGAGTAAAACATATATAATGTGTACACCAAGCGCACCTAATTAAAGCATTATCTTCACAATACTTGCAAGATGTATCACAATTTTCAAAACAGTATCGGACAGGAGTCTTGCATTTAGGTGGTTTTTCTTGAATATACCCACTTTTATACCATGCATATTTAAACATGTTTACAAACCTGGCTGAAGAAAACTGGTTATGAATCAGCGACTGAAGTTTTAATACATTGTTTCTTGCATGTAAATTGACATCAAAGCCATACAAAATTACCAGATCTGAAAAATGTTTTAAAAAATTTTTCCATGGTCTGAATCCATAAACATCTAGGGGTTGAATCATACCAGTTGTCCCAGCAGGAATTGTACAAATATTGACATCTTTGCCTTCTAGACAAACGTTGTCAAAATTTTTCTTTGTTTGTCCTGTCCACGAATCTAAACATAAAACCGATTGTTTATCAACCACAGATAAGTAAATATCTTTGTACCATTGAACTGCCAGGTCAGATGATAATTTCCCAGATTTTGAAGGTACTACGACAATATTTTCTGCTTTATATATGTTCATTTCAACAACAGGTCCAAACTGCCCACCCGTTTCTTGTAAAACAATAAATAAAGGCGACTTGAGTAATCCACTAGCTGATACAATCGGTTGTATGGTATAGCTATGTGTTAATGAATTCTTCGATTGTGTTAAACATTCAACTTTTGCTGTTCCTTTGAAAGATAATGTTCGTCCTGCATGTGATTCATAATTAAAACCAGACTGATCTGAATTATAAACATTGTCAGCTCCTAATAATGAGATTTGCTCCCTAATTTTGGATACAAATTGATTTGCTTCTTGTACTAAATCATCTTTCTTTGATAAGAGCGTTTGGGTAGTGAATTTATTAATTTTTCTGGATACGATTCCGTGTTTTATTTTAAAATTGTGAATCCACTTTGATGAAGCCGAGAAACTTTCTTCTTTGAAATATGAATGCCTCCGTCGCCAGGCGAGCGCTCCTCACTCCTTATTGTTAGCTCGCGGCTTTTGTTTACATGAGATGCTCCGGGGCCCATTTCTCACATTCACATTCACATCCTGCAGTCCATATTTCAAAGAAGAAAGTTTCTCGGACAATCGCGTTGATCGTTAAGGGTTTCAACGGTGTTCTAATCTCGATTAAATTAATTTAAAAATCAGTAAACACCTTAAGCTCACCAATTACGTATTTTTATACCGAATACGTATACAAAAAAATGACGATGAATGTAAGAAACATTTTAAAATTGTTACAAGAAGCTTTTAATTATCCACAATATAATATTGATTCAGCTATTAATGATGATGAGAGAGCGTCACAATTGGAGAATATAATTAAAGACTCCATTGATTTTGCCTTGATATTTGAAAGTTATACTACTTTATGTTACGAAGATAATACTGCGCTTCCTGAAATCCATGCAATTGAAGAAGATTTCCAAGATGATTATAACGCTATTATTAATGATAATAAAAAAGTTAAAAACATGATAGATTTCGAATATAAAGAAAAAGCTGTTCAATATTGGCATTCTGGTACAAAAAAAAATTTAAAATTTGAATGTGTACAAAGTAAATTTAAAAAAGTTCAAAATATTACAATGTTATATAGATGGGAAAAGCAAGTAAAAGAAGGTGGCACAAGAAACGAGAAATTATTGGAAATTAGCAAATATGTCATGAAACAGTTTCAAAATGCACATTTGAAGTCAATACCAATTCATGATATTGATATTAAGAGATGGGCTTTAAATGCAAGAAATGAAGTACAACTACCTCCTCCTGTAGTGTTACTTGTGAGATCCCCTCACATCTCAACACCCTGAAAGGACTTAAGTTAGAACTGGCCTATACCTTCTATTATATTTATCTCTATGAATAAACAGATCTGTCGGCGGAAATGAGAGAAATAGTAATAGATGTCATATAAGAGAAAGAATTATATTTTTTATTATATTTAAATATATTATAAATTATTTAACACTCTCCTCATATTCCGTATTAATTTTCTGTTCTCTTTAAATACTTGTTAAAATGATTCGTGGCATTAACAGTTTAAGATTTGTAACAAAAATAAAATAAAAGATAGTGTTTTATATAAATAAAATGACACTAAATTTTATATTTCTTGTTCATTAAAAGTAGCAATCATAAAATAAATTAAGAAGAGATAAAGATGGATTTTTTTACTAAAACAGATTACATTAGCTCTTTCGATTCTTTAATGTTTCTAGATATTCACATTAACAAGGAAGGAAAAACTTTTATTAATAAATTTTTAATTAAAAAAGCTTTATTTTATTATATTTATTTAGCTAAACTTAATTTAATATAGAATAGAAATTGAATATAAAATTTTTCGAATATTTAAATTTCGATATCTAAATAAAATATTAATAGCTGGTATTAAACTTGATTAATTTGATTATTTAATTTTGAAATAGCTTTATAAATTCTTTTCTATTAATAATGTTTACGATAAAAATTTAAAATAAATTTTCTATAAAAATTACGCTTGATTAATCTCGTTACTACAAAACAAATGTAAACATGTATATGTTAATAATTAAAAAAGATTTATAAATTTGATAAAATCAAATAAACAAACAGTTTTATTATGTCTCATATTATTTAAGCTGTAAGCTTTAAAAATTAAATTATGGAATTAAAAAAAAATAATCTTATCAAGTTAATGATCAAGAAATTATGTCTTATCTATTAATCTATTGAATTGTTTATTTTTTTTAATATTGTTTTTCTGCAAATACATATCTTCCGTAAGTTTCATAATAATAACTTCTTTGCTGGGGCAAGAGTATTTCTATCGGCAATAACGTCACAGTCTGATGAGATTATTCGCGTTTGAACTTCCGTACTTCACATATCGCAGTGACTGCTGAATAATAAGTTAACTTTTTCCAATAAATTTGACTCGTTAAAAAATCAAAGATGTATGGAGAAAATTTAACGTTTTACTATTATACACTTCTACTCATCCTTTCGTTTTTAATATTTCAATCAAGTTCTACGAGTGATGATAACGAAGACAATAATTCGACAGAGCGATACAAATTTGAGGAGGATATCAAGAGAAACTGTGGCAAAAAAACAGAATTAATGCGATATAACTCGCATGAAAATTATATAAACAACAACAAAAATAACTCCAATAAAGGAATTAATAATAAAAATCACATTGTGTCATACGAAAAATGTGCCAATATTACTTGCATTCAGCTCTGTTGTCCGCTTGGTGATCTCTTTGATGGCGAGAATTGCACTGCTAGTGAAAATGAATACGTTTTCCCAAACGTATATTCAAATAATATGTTACAGAGCGGAAATAAGAAAGTGGACGAGCTTTTTCCACTAATCGTTCAAAATCCGTGCCAGGAAGCTATACCTTTTTTTCTATATCCGGACTATTATTTTAAGTACTTTAAGTATATGTTTTTCGCAAACAGCTCTTTGTATCTTCCTTATTTCGACATATTTGTCGAATCAACATCTTATTGTTTGGCCGTCGTGGATCATAATCAGTTCGATGCAATTATCTGCTTGGAAGCTGTGAATGAAACAATCGATAAAAAAAAGGATAACATGATAAATGATCTGATAACTGAAATCCTAAACGAATTGAGATTTTTATTTTTGAGTTGCCGCATATTGTCTATGTTGTGTTTGCTGACAATATTTGTGGTGTATTCTACATTGCCGGAACTCCGTAACATACACAGTTTCATGTTGCGCAAATACTGCAGTTTCTTATTTTTTGGATACATAATGGAACTTATAAGTGTCCAATTGAATCCAATCAACATAATAGATTTTTCGTATGTCATCTGTGTTATAATTGGTACAGTATAGCCAAATGTAATAATACAGTCAATGCAGTGTGTACATTAATTTTTTCATTAATTTTTATACAAATAATTTAATTCTTGTGTTTATAAAAGTGTATCGTACATTAATTTAGTGTATCGTATACATTAATAAAAGTACATTGATATTTAATTTTTATTAATTTTTTTACGATAAAACTTGAATGTACGATACATTATAATATTATAAACAAGACTTAATAGTGGAAAAAATTAAAATAATATTTTCTTTTATTTTAACGTAAAACACAATTTAAGTTACTTAGCCTAATATTTTTTTACAATATTATTGAAATTCTGTTGAGAGTTATATAGTTAAAGAGTTATATAATATTGAAATTAAAACATTATTTAATTTAATATTAGCGTGTGTTAATTAATTATATTGTATTCTGTGATAAATTTTTCCTGTTAAAGTTGAAGGATAACTTTTTATAATATAATACAGTTCTTAATGATATACAAAATACTTGCCAATTAGTGGTATTTTAAAATTGTTCATTTTATTTTTGCAGCTTTAGTCAACTATTTCTGTTTTTTGTCAACTTCTTTTTGGTTAAGTGTAATGAGTTTCGATATTTGGTGGACATTTAGGTAAATTGTTTAATATATATATAAAATATATATTTATTTTTATAAGATCGTTTAATATTTCTTATATGACGCGAACATGATATGATAGAATGTTCATATATAATGTGTGTATATAATACATTCAAATTATGTCTGTAACAATTTATAAAGATAAAAAAGAATAATGATTTGCATTAGGAAAGAATATATCGTGTCTTGTTAATTGAGAGTATAAAAATTATTATTTGGCTTGAAAAACGATAATTTTAGTACAGATATAACACAGGCATTTCAGAAACATGTACATTTTTTCTATTTAAAATTTCCAATTTTCTTCTTTTCAAACAAAAAGTTGATGTGTATTTCGCAAACACGCATTTAATTGTTAAAGAAAAAAATAATGTATTATTAAAATAACATTTTAAATTATTAATAAAGTTATATTAAATTATGAAAAAGTTCATAATATAATTTCAAAATTTATAATATAATATTACTAACCTTTTTGTAATATCTCATTTCTTTAAATTTTATATATCGTAAACCAATATCGTTTAGAATTTTTTTTCTCCTTTTATATAATAATACAAAATACTCAAGCTTTTTAACAGAAATTGACTTTTAATTTTATTGTTAAACATTTTGCTAAATCAAAATTAATCTAATGTTAGTAAAATATCAATATATTTGAATATATGATAATTTTTATTATTTTGAGACATTATATAGTATAAATCATTTTTTTATAGTTTATATAAAACAGACATTCAAGATATTTGATGGAAGGCATATTTATTTATTTGTATTGCGATTCGTTTTATTTGTTTCTAATTAATTGTAAAGTAAACTCTGCATTTTGCAGAGATTTTCGCTTGTTACAAAGAAACAAGAAAGCGAAACAAGACAGAAAAAAATTAATATATTCTATCTTTGCTTGGGGAAGTCCCTTCATATTTACTATCATTTGTATTATCATGGATTTTGTTCCAAATGTGCCGAAAAACTTAATCCGACCGGAATTTTGTGTCTATAGTCCTTGGTTTTATGGTGAGTGTATGTCACTATTAACATAACTTTATTAACAAAACATTTAATTAATTACCCTTTGACAATTTACTTTAAAAATAAAAGTATGTTTTTCTGTTTTATTTACAACATGTGAGATAAAGAAGGTCATTATTTATTTTAGAGGATGCGGCGTCTCGATTGTATTTTTACGGGCCAGTAAGTATCTGTGTTATTAGTAGCATTTGCTTATCTATTTACACTGCATTGAAAATTGTGCGTTATGAAAAGGACACAGCTCGTCATCTGAGAGATTCAGAAAGCAGATTTTATAATGACAACAAGCGATGGTTTGTACACAAACATTTTTATATCAATGTATAATCAGTCTTGTTTAACAAGACAACAATAAGATATGTGCTGCTATATTCACTTGTCAACTATATTGCTTTTAATAAAATCAATTGCTTTTTTGATCATTTCCGATACAAGAGAAGGAGAGAGATAATTATTTTGAGACTTCTTTATTAGCGACAATATATTTTCATAAATACGCTCTCTTGTACAAACACATCGTTGTTTTCAATTTTAATTAGTTAGTAGTTTATTATATAATTATTTAAATATATTTATTAATGTGAAATACTTATAATTTTTTCGTAGGAAATATTTATCTTTATGAAACAAATTACTTAAAATGCGTCCGCTCATGACATACTTTTAGAATATATCAAATATTTTAGAATTTATCAAATATATCATAACTTCAAAAAATATAAAAGAGAGATATTCATTTGCAGGTTAAAACTGTATCTGAGACTGTTTATCATGCTGTTTATCATAATAGCCATAATTTGGATTATAATAACAGTGTACGAATTTTGGCTTTTTGATGATATTACAATGTTGTACATCATACGTAGTACGTTTGTGTTGGATACCATAAAAGATATCGTTATGTTCATCATATTCGTATGTAAAAAGACAATCATGGGACAGCTATTGAAGCGTTTCTGTCAGAATTGCAAATGTTTTTCCAAAACTTCGACATAATGATTTCAGGTTTGAATAATTTTACCATGTCAAGAACAATTTTTTTATGGAAAAACATTAATTATGGAAAAGCCGTCACTCAAAAGTTTTGTCTAATGAGTATATATAACCTTATATGAATATATTTATCCTTGTCAAGATTAGAATATATAATTTGATATGTGATGCATAAATGTGTACATTTAGGTATCTTTCATATATCTCTAATTCCATTAGATGTGTGTATCTCATATTTTTACTTTAATTTGTACATATTTAAATGTGTCAGTTGTTTTGCATCAATTTAAAAATTATTATTTTTTATAAAAAACTAATTTTATGCATTATTATAAATTTTTACATTACTTTTTTGAAAAAAGAAATTTCAAAAATAAATCAATTTATAGAAGAAATTAACAATTTTGGTAAACTTAATGTATAAAGAAGAACGACAACAACAGAGCGAGAGGGGGGGGGGAGAGAGGGAGAGAGAGAGAGAGACAGAGAAAGAGAGAGTGATATTATAGATAATATATATAATAACTTATAAAAAACATTTTTCCAAATTTGAAAACATATAACAACCAGAAATATACGTACAAACAGGTTTGAAAAAAAAATAATTTAACTTTGAATAAAATATAAAATTGAACTACATATATGAGTGACTAGATAATAAATAACAAATTTTGGAATACAATAAATTTTGAATAAAAGAAATATATTCATGTTTTTCTCTTTCATATTATATTGTACTTTGTTAAAATGTAATGTAACGTACAGGATATCATGCGATAAAGTTGCAGTCTGGTTTTATAATAATTTCTGAAGATAAAATATTTATCGCTATAGGAACGCTACAAGGTAAACAGATATAACTTGTTAGCGGAAGCATGAGAAATAATAATAAGCATAATAAAATAATTGTATATCATATAATTATGTAAATTATTCAATTCTTTCTGTCATGTATCAATATTCTATTTTTTTTATAATATATATATAAATATATATATATATATATATATATATATATATATATATAAATATTCGTTAAAATGATCTGTAACATTAGTAATGTATCAAGATAACAAAATTAAAGCAAAAGACAGCGTTCTGTGTAAATGAGATGATACTACAATTTTATGTCTTTTGCTCATTAAAATTAGCGATCATAAATAAAAAATTAAAGATAGATTTCGTATTATGATAGATTACATTCTCTATCTTTTTTAGTCTTTGATGTCATTTCTAAGATTCATATTAAAAGAAGAAAGAGAAAATTTTTTATTTTTTATTATTAAATTTTTTATTAAAAAGATTTATACACCTGAAATTAATACAAAATCAGAATTTAATAATAGAATTTTTCAAGTATTCAAAATTCGATGTTTACATAAATCACTCATTAAATTCATTCTTCGCGACTTTTTAGTAGTCTAGAACAAATCAGATTCTTTCATATTGTTCATAATATTGATCATAAATTGATGTGGAATAGATATTCTTTATAATAGGTCAAACAATTAATCTCTTGATTCATTCAACATTTGACCATGTTCTACGAAACAAATCTTTTTGATGATGTAATAATAGAAATGACATCGAGAAAATGATTAATCCCTTTGTTTAAAATGATTGATATCTTTGATGATGTTATTGATCTTCAGCAATTTCTTCGATGACGCTGATCAATGACAATGACGCATTAGTGCTGAAAATTTATGTACATTATTATAATTCTATTAAATTTTCATTTAATTATTATTAAAAATATGACTAAAGTATTATTAATTTAAAATATAATAATATGATATAATAAATAATTTTTGAAATTATTTATAACAAAATCAAATTATGATAACAGAATTTTAATTATTATAAAACGTCGTATATAAATCTATAATCTATTCTTCTATAAAAATAATACAAGTTCTACTGTAGATAGACTTGATATTAAAAAGCTCAAAACTATGAAAAAACATTTTTCAAATACGACCATTTTTGACGGAGTTATACTTATACGAAGTTATGCAAAAATTTTACATGAAATTATACCTTATTACCTATGCGATAATTTTGTTAACAAGTGTATATTATATTTTAAAATTAATACCATCATATCTATATTTTTCCATAACTAACATAAATATCACATCTATATTTTTCTATATCTAACACATATCACATAAATCAAACATATGTACGGGTGATTTTTTTGCATGTGTAATTATCTTTGAGATTAAGGATACGATGAAAATCATATCTACTTTTCTTAATGTAATTTTAATTGTTAATATCAGTTTTATGTTGTTTCGAGCTATTTTTGCGAAAAATGTCTTTCTCGTCTAAAGTCAGAATAAAGTAGTCATAATATAACTGTTTACAGCACACATGAGTATTGAATCCAAACTGATTTTTCAACAATATTTTGCTCTTTTATATTGGCGAACACTAGTATCTAATAAAGAAAAATACAAGTTTTGGTGTAAATAACGATAAACTAATATACACAAAATAATATAATTTTTTTGATTATACAATTTTTTTGTAATCTTGAGATAACAAATAAGATTGATAAATATTTTAGTGGAACATAAAATTTTTCTTATGCATAAGTGTTTCGAAAAAAAAATATGTAATTTGCAATTAACAATTACATATTTTTTCTTAAAAATAACTATGTGTTTTCTTTAAAGCAATTGATTCCTTTCATTATTTTGTACATAAAAATATTAAGGTAAAATAATCGAAAAATGAATATTTTACAGGATATTTTATCGTTCATGTAAAATTAAGATATTATTTGAAGCCTCATAACTTGAAAAGTACTTAATGAAAACTAACTTAATTATAGTGTTTTGGAAAGCTCTCGAGATAAGCTACAAGAATATGTAATAAAAAATAGGCGGTAATAAAAAATTTTTCTATTTAAAAAATTAAGTTGACCTTCAAATGACTATTAAATTCGACTTCTAGGTCGAAGTCAAAGTTACCATCAGATGTCCCCCTCGAAATCCTACAACTTTTATTTGAAATATTTTTTCGTATCTTTTAAACTTACCAATATTTCGATGGCAAAGTTAAAATCGATCACCCTGTATACATATATATCTATAGGGGAGATCGGGAATAAAAGTAACATTTTTTGTATTATGGGTCACTAATTATCGTTACAGATATACAAAAAAAGATTATATGTTGAAAAACTCCCTTTATTGTTCTATTATTATACTATGTTCAATCTCAAATGATAAATATTTAAAAAGTTATTATAGCTTTTCGCAAGTACGTTAATTGTTACTTCCTGAGGGCCAAGAATCCGTCCCAGAAAAACCGCTTCCTGTTACTCGAGGATTACCAATACGATTACAGGATGTTTGCCAATGGTTTTCTTTATTTATCTTATTATAAAATATTTGCAAATCAACATGATGTCACCGTGTAAATGGGGATAAATTCGAAGTCATCTGCTCAGAGATTTCTAACAAGATCTTCAATACGATAATGTTAATGATATCCAGATCGATGACATAATAATCATATATGTAAGCTTCCATATAATGTTTATATTATTTTTGATGACGATAATTCTGGTGTATTTCATATTATTAAATCTTCGAAATATATATAGCTTCAAATTATGCAACTACTGCGTCGTCTTATTCTTTGCATACGCAATTGATATTGTGAATATTCTAATCAAAACGGATATTATACAAAATCCTGTTTGTATTACATAATACAATATATTTAAATCATATAACTGCAATGCAATATATATTTGTCATGTATATAGTATATATTCGGATATTAATTTTTTTAATAATTTGAATATTGTCGACTTCTTCATCGGTACGAGCCGTTTTAATAACGGAGAGATTGCAATCAAATCATTCGAGACTTTTAGTTGAACAAGTGAATATGTATATATTTACAAAAAAAGTGAATCATTAATATTATAATTAATGAACAACAAGTATCGCGCCTTCAACAACTATCGGTCATCCTTCGATCTCTTTGCCACTTTTCTCGATCAACGCTTTGTCTCGACTGACTTATTCGATTCTCGCATCCGCGCTTTTGACCTCGTCTCACCGTTAGATTTTAAATCATAACAGCCGCCGAACTGTTGTCAAACATACATTGCTTGTCGCTAAGACAATTAACGCGTCCCTGGCATCATCGAGCGGGCCTCGGAGGACATTTATGCAAGATATAATTATTCCACAATATGATTTGTTAAAATCTTAAAAACGTAGATATTAATGATAAATAAAAGTTTATTTTAGATAAACTTTAATATACAACTAATTGAAATTTCCTTTAATAAATATTTTTTTTATGTTTTAAAATCTTACAGAGTTATGTCTTGAATTGAAATATTATTTAATTTTATATCAGAATTTATTAAATATCTGAGTACTGTCCCATAAAATTTTAGTACAAAAAGATAGAATAAATCTCTTTTTCATGGAAACATGAGTTCATCTGCATTTTAGCATTCAAATTAAGATGTTATTTATTCCATTTTGCAACCTTCTTGTCAAGTTTGGTTTAGCTAATTATAGTAACCTTTATAGTAACCTTTATATGATGTGGACATATTTATCTTTATTTTTTTTTTTAATTTGTTTTATCTTAAATTATCTTTGTAGAATTGATTTATAACATATAACATGACGAAATAAAATTTTCTGTAATATACAAACATATTTTATATCATATGTATAATTGGTAAGGACAGAACATAATACAATATTTTAAATTAATCTAATTAATAAGAAAAGTTGTTCTCATGTATTATTGCGTGACAGTGTAAGCAGCTTGCAATTATAAGTTTAGTAATAATATTAAAATAAGCGAGTAGGGCTAGGTCAGTCTCTGACGTCATTTAGATTAATAAGTTTTTCTGTGACATTTAACATAAAGTTGTTTCATTAGCAAGCTTGTTGTCGATGATGATTGTCTAATTCGCGCGAATGTGTCTATTATTTTATAATCACTTGTCTTGCAAGTTTTGTCTTTGGAAGGAAAATAATGTTGTCTTGTCATGACTTAACCATCGCAAACGAACAATATCATGTGTATTTTAAAAAATTCGTTGTGGTCGTAACATAGCAGATTAAAAAATTGCAGATTAGAAAAAAATTAAATTGAATTCTCAAATTGTTAACGATGTGCGGTGAAAGTTTTGCATTTTGGCTTTTCATAATTTTACTTCTCACTTCATCTTCAACGACTCCGCGAAACTTTACAAGTGACAACAAAGATATATGGGAGCAGA